ACATTACCTTCAATCTGCTGCTGCTCGTGATGAGTGGCTGTCGAGTGCTCATGTGCGCTGTGTCACGCTGGTTAGTCAGGAGGTGCCTTCCCTGGCTCCTTGGCTCACCCACAAGCGAGCCTGCAAACCAGCGAGGCTCCCTTTGGTTTCTGAGAAGCACAAGCCGCTTCTCAGAAAGCTGATACCTATGGAGACTGGGCAGAGGACTAATTCCCTAAATGCATAAGGGATGCGCATCTAAATAGGGAACTGGAAAGCTGGATTAGAAATTGGAGGGTCAAAGTGAAGCATGGAGAGGGCGTTTCTCCTTCCCCTCTCCTCCCCTGGGGTACCACGGAGGTTGATACCTTGGTTATGAGCGATCTCTGGCAACATAGTCATTTTTATTTAGGGTGAGTGAGGCCGCTGTGAGGGCTTCAGTGGGAGCTCCATTGTCAAATCTGCACTAAAGGACCGTTAAAATAGAGTGTTACTGTAAGAAGCTCTCTCTGCTAGACATTTCTCAGAAGAGCTTTGTGCCTTTTCGGAGGGCTGCTTGCTGCTTCTTTCCACTGTTGGGAGGGTGAAAACTGCCCCTAACGAACTGAGCCTTTTTAATTGATTATAAAAACAGAAGAGAACACAGCAGTGGGAATTGTTGGCAGTGCTTTACAGCGAGTGGCGAATCACTGCATATTCATTTGTTTCTCATTGGCCAAGAAGAATCCTCTTTTGGTATTCAAGCAAATGTGCTGTGAAGTTTGCAGAGGACAGGGTTTAACAACTTTTCCTGGCTGGAGGCCTGGGCGGGTTTTTTTGGTGGAATGGTAGGAGGGCCAGGAAGTGGTGGGGGTGGGAAGCTGAGCTGGGGGGAGTGAAGTGAAGGAGTGTTTCAGGGAAGGCAGGAGCAGGGGAGCGCTGAGGTAGTCTCTAAAGTAGCTGCAAAGAATGGCTTTATCTGTGTGGGTGTAAGGTGGGAGAGCTGGATTACGCCGTGATAACTACGGGAGTAATCCCACAGCGGGGTGGCCATACTTGGCATATAACACAATTATTTTGGTAGTCCAGAAAATAGGACTGAGTTGGATTCTTTCATGGCAGAAGAGAGGGAGTAGTTCACCTGGCCTCAGTTTCTTTACACTGTGGTATTATGTGGGTTCTCAAGTACTTGGAAGGGAAGCTGACAGCGTCTTATATGAACTGAGGAGCAGATTGTGCTTCCTCCCCCTCACTTATCGCCCTCTGTATCAGTCTCCCATCCTCTTTCTCTTCCATCTTATGTTTTCACCTCTCAGTGTTCCCCTTCTGCTCCAGTCAGTCTGGACTCAGACCATTTGGTTTCTTAAAAGGGTCAATTTCCTCCTGCCTCAGGACCTTTGCACATGCTATTCTGTCTACTTGAATTGTTCTTCTCCAATACCTGGCTTTTTCCCACATGGCCAGGGTGGCTCCTACTCATCCTTCCAGCCATGACTTGACACTGCCTCCTCAAGGAAGCCTTCCATGGACATCCTGACCAGCATGAGCCCTCTTGCCAGAGGTGCCTTTCACACTATGCTTTTTCTTTAAAGATTTTATTTATTTATTTGTTTGTTTCAGAGGGGAGGGGCAGAGGGGGAGGGAGAGGGAGAGAGAGAATCTCAAGCAGACTCCCTGCTGAGCATGGAGTCCAATGTGGGGCTCGATCTCACAACCCTGAGATCATGAACTGAGCCAAAACCAAGAGCTGGGCACCTAAATGACTAAGCCATCCAGGTGCCCCACTATGCTTTTTCTTTAGAACAAGAACTGTAACTTCAATCAAATAATAACTAGCTGACCCAGTGTAATATGCATATTTCTGGCAGATTTAATACTTATGAATACAAAATTCACAAATTGTATGCTTCCATATATATATTTCATCATGAAAAATGAACAACATTTTTAGAGGTAACACTTAGTGATCTCAGGAAGCAATCCTGAGGCATGGACAGAGGCATGGAGTTCTCCCTGCCTGATTCTGGAAAGTATTAGAAATAAAAGTCTGTTTTGTTTTTTTTTTAAAGATTTTATTTATTTATTTGACAGAGAGAGACACAGCGAGAGAGGGAACACAAGCAGGGGGAGCAGCAGAGGGAGAGGGAGAAGCAGGCTCCCCGCTGAGCAAGGAGCCCGATGTGGGATTTGATCCCAGGACCCTGGGATCATGACCTGAGCCAAAGACAGCTGCTTAACCGATGAGCCACCCAGGCGTCCCTATTAGACAACTTTTATAATTAGTTTGTTACTTGTTACCTATAAACCTGCAAGCCAGCTTCCCCCAATCACTGAATGTCTATGTGTTCTTTGGAGGAATTGGATGGAGAAAAATCATATCCAATTGAACCTCAGAAACATGTACAGCAAGCATTTCATACTCAGGGGACGTGCTTTCATCTAGGACTGGTAGTTGGTTAATTAAATCTTTTAAAGCAGTGAATTTGGAGGGGGGGAGGATGAAACATATATTTAAATATTTCATGTTAAGTTAATACAAAAATATTCATCTATTTTCCAATCTTATGATGTAAAACCAGGCCTTTTTCTTGAGTTTGAGTCTACTGATTGAAGTCCTCCATCACCTATTTTTTTTTAAAGATTTATTTATTTATTTGAGAGAGAGAGAAAGAAAATGTGCAGGAGTGGGGAAGGGGCAGCGGGAGAGAGAATCTCAAGCAGACTCTCCACTGAGCACAGAGCCCAGCGTAGGACTTGATCTCATGACGCTGAGACCAGCACCTGAGCGGAAATCAAGAGTTGGACACTCAACCAACTGAGCCACCTAGGTGCCCCCCTCCATCACCTTTCTTGTATCAATCACACATAAAAATGCAATATCTACATTTTTTATTTTTTTTTTAAGTAGAGAGAACTAAAAGACATTTGAGAGGCAATCTGAAACCAGAATCGTTCATATTTTGTGTTTTCCTCGCCAGTCTTTTACAGTTGCCTCACCCACACTTAATTTAATAAACTTTTTAAGTAGCTTGTCTTGATTGCAGCTTTCTGTAGCATTCATACCGTTTTCATAGAAACAACTCTTTTCACACTCTTGTTTCATTGCTTTGTATAATATGTATCTAAGTTATTTAATTACAATAAATTATACAACTGACATTAGTGGGTTTGGGAACAAATACAGCTGAGTCCTGGAAAGCATAGATCATAATCAGTGGGATCAGGGGAGCTGAGCATTCTGGCAAAGAGTGGTCCACAGGCTGAGTGCATCAGTCAGGAAGTTTTATAGAGTGAGCAGAGAGTGTTGGTTAATCCCTCAAACTGGTAAGTAGGGGGTAGTTAAGAGCATTTCTTCTATGTCTCAATGTGTTTATTATTTTATTAAGGTCAGTCTCTCTGGACTGATAGGAAGTTGCATGAAGGAAAGAAGAGTTGCTGTGTGTAGTAGGTGCTCAGCCATAACTTACTGTGTACTCCCTAGTCCATGCTTTGGCTGATGGTTTCCTTCAGGTCATTTCCTATCCCCGACACGTTTTGTGAAATCAACTTTATGGTTTGATTGACTGATTCACTATCTTGATAAGACCAAGAACCACAGGAACAGTTATAGTAACCTTAAATTAAGGCAAGACATTTTAGCTTTCTTTTTTCAACCAAATAAATAACAGAGAAAGGATTGCTTGCCAACTCAGAGATTTTCATTTTTAAAAAGGTGTCAAGTAGTCCCTTGTACTAACAACTATATCATAAATAAATGCGGCAAATAAAAAATGTAATCACAATTAAAACCACAAAAAATATTGGCCCATGGGGGGCGCCTGGGTGGCTCAGTTGGTTAAGCGACTGCCTTCTGCTCAGGTCATGATCCTGGAGTCCCGGGATCGAGTCCCGGGATCGAGTCCCGCATCAGGCTCCCTGCTGAGCAGGGAGTCTGCTTCTCCCTCTGACCCTCCTCCCTCTCATGCTCTCTGTCTCTCATTCGCTCTCTCTCAAATAAATAAATAAAATCTTTAAAAAAAAAATATCGGCCCAAGGGATGGATATTTACAATATAGCTAGAAATACCGGAATCAAAACTAAAGAAAATTTATAATGTTTGATCATTTCTAAGTTCTTTTGCAGCTCTAAATACTGATATCAGAGGAATGATACCTGTCGCATGTCTCTGAAAGTATGAGCAGATATTTCATGAGAACCTGCCGCTTGCCAAGTGCCTTGGCTGCGTCTGGGGATCTGATGGCTACAGGTGACTAAGGTATGGCCTGTTTCTGAGAAAATTACCAACCAGTGGACCAGACTGGATGGAAGATAATCATCTTATATAGCAGAGCAAAAAAAATAAAAAAATAAAAAAAATATGTCATGATAGGGGAGCATGGAGGAATGAGAGATTCTATCCAACTCGAGAGACTAAAAGAGATATCTGAAGCTACACAATGATTAGCAACAGAAAAAAAATCACATTTGACCTGCTTGGGAATATTACCAAAAGATGTTGGCTTGGGTGGGCACAGGTTCCTGGGACACAGAGGAGAGAGAACCCAACAACCTGGAAGGTCCTGGTCCAGCTCTCATTCCTACCCTTTTTCAGGACCAGAATCTAATTTCTCTTAGTAAAGAATAACAATGTCACACTCCACGTCCAAGGTCAAGAGTTTCTCCTGATTAGTAATAGAGGCTGAAGTGTGGACAGATGGGTGGTGGGAGGCTTCCACGCAGAAGCAGCAAATGAAAAACTGGAGGCTTCAAAATCTGCCATAACTTCAAGAGTACAGTCCTTAGTCAAGGTTTTTCCAGGCCATCTGTGGGAATAACATTCACCGTGTCTCCTTCCCTGTGGTCTGAGGTCGTACCCTGAGGACTGGTAATACTAGACTTCCCTCTTCTGTGAGGTGACAGGCATATTCCCCAGAAAGTCATGAGAAATGTCAGAGATGTTTGTGGTAGAAGAAAATGAATATAATAAGAGGTTTTATTGACGGTAGGAAAGGAGGAATTTATACCAGAGGGCAAATGATAAAAGCTTCTTTCTTAACTCCAGAATGAACGTTGGCAGTGGTGGAAATTTGGCTTGTGTAATTAAAACCAGCAGCCCGGTGTCCTATGATGTGGATTTTGATCTAAGATTATCAGCAAGTGTCTTCCGTATCGCTCTCCAAAGATTTCTTGAGTATAGTAAGGAGACGAATTAAGAGACTCTCCATTTACCGACTGTTTTCACTCCCTTTTTGGTTGTATGCTACTTAGTTACTTGTAAAATTTTATTGGTGAACAAAGTGAGCAACTTTATTTTTAGGGAGAATAAGTTGTTTTTTTTTTTTTTCTTTTCTTTTCTTTTTTACATGAGTTGTTCGTAGTTGTCTATCTCTGGCTGTAAGGACTTTTTTCTTTCTTAAGAAAATCTTTTTTTAAAATTTTATTTTATTTATTTATTTGAGAGAGAGCAAGAGAGAGCACAAGCAGGGGGAGGGGCAGAGGGAGAGGGAGAAGCAGGCTCCCCGCCCAGCAGGGAGCCCGACCTGGGGCTCCATCCCAGGACCCTGGGATCATGACCTGAGCCGAAGGCACACACTCAACCCACTGAGCCACCCAGGCGCCCCTATAAGAAAACCTTCTAAGATCATGGACGCCTCTTCAAGAATGTAAGCGATGTAAAGTAGGAAATGTGAGGGAATCCATTACTCTGGTAGATCATGGTTTCCAAAGATTGTGTTGGCTGGGTAGCAATAGTTAATTTTCTCGCTTCCACAGATATTGGCCAAACACCAACCTTTGCCTAGATCAGCTATCAATATTCTTCAGATGAAGGCCTCATAGGTTGGTAAATTGCCAGAGAGTCCAGACACATTTGCCTTCAGTTTTAAGGGAGATCCAATTTTTATGAAACACCTAGGGGAACATTTCAAGGAACCACAAACCTCAAGTTTATTAATATTTCAATTCTAGAAAACTCTGCCTATACTTCTGATTAACTAATGGCCATGTCATGGTCACTGAAAAAACCCTAAAGAAATAGCATCTTTGTGATGAATAGCCCAACACATTATCCATGTATTTTAAATACGTTGCAATATTATAAAGCAGGTAAGGATCTTCTTAGGTACTCTGTTTTTCTCCCCTACAGTTTTCTTTCTAGTGTGGCACCCCTTATCTCACTTTTTCAGGTATTTGGATTCTCAAGACTTGTAATCTCTGTTCCCTCTACCTATACTTCCTCCTCTCACAGACTGTTCTTATGACAGAATCTAATCTTACGTGCATCTTGATGCAAATTTAAGTTGGTATATTACTTGGAACTCAGGGAAAAGGAAATAAGGATGGAGGTGAGGGAGTGTTTTACATTTTTTTGTATTAAAAAAATTTTTTTTGAGAGAGAGAGCGTGCTTTGGTGGGAGGAGGCAGAGGGAGAGAGAGAATCCCAAGCAGACTCCATGCCCAGAGTGGAGCCCAACGCAGGGCTCGATCTCACGACCCTGAGATCAGGACCTGAGCTAAAATCAAGAGTCAGACGCTTAACCCACTGAGCCTCCCAGATGCCCCTACATGTTAAACAATTGTAGAATGAGATAGTAATTTTAGTTTAATTTTTGAATAGGTAATACAGTCATAAGATATAAAGACCTTTTTTACTTCTTTTGTATGGTTCCAGAATTTTTATGCATCAGAAAGAAAATATAAATATAAATATAATTTCGGATCTCTTTTTTTACCTAAAAGGTCACATATCATGTGCACTGTTCACATTTTACATTCTTCACTTCATACATCTTGAAGATCTTTATCAATCTGTAGGAAGTATGCTTCTTCTTTTTTTATTTTTACACTCACACAGAATTCCATTTTATGATACACCATAAGTTATTTAATCAGTTTTCTGTTTAGGAACATTTGAGTTTCAGTCTTTTGCTGTTAAAAACAAGGCTGCAGTGGGGAACTCTTTCAGAAGCCATTTTGAACGTGTGCATGTGTATCTGTAGGAGAACTTCTCAGAAATGGAATCTCTGGGTCCAAGGATATATGCATTTGTAATTTTAACAGATCCCCCCAAATCACCCTCAGTTGAATTTGTACCCATTCACACTCCCACTGGCAGTGTTCGAGAGTGCCCGTGTCCCCGCAGCCTTAACAATCAAGTGTGTTACAATGAAAGATTTTTAATCCTTATTAAACAAATGATCCAAGATTAGAGAGCTTTAAAGGGTGAAAGAAATTTGTTTTATACCTAAAAACCTTCTCAACCTTCTGAAAACCCTTCCCTAGGGCAGGAACAAGAAAGCAGTACTTGCTATGTTCCAGGCACCATGCCAATGATCAGGAAAACAAAGGTAAATGCGTTTAGGTTTTACGCTCCCTTTTCCTTCCCCTCCCAGCTCCCTTCAAAGTTGCCAAGCCTATTGATTTTATATTTCAAAGTAGAAGCCTTATTCATTAAACTTACCTTCTCGCTAATGTGTGCAATTGTAGAGCTTCCTAACTGCTCGCTCTCTGTCCCTCCCAGCTGCAGTCTATGGTCCCTCTTTGCCTAAAGCATCCTTCTAAGATATGACCTGAACCTTGTCACTCTTGCGCATCTCTGGATGGCTTGGCTTCTGGGACAAGGTCTAGATTTCTTGGTCCAGTCTCTATAGTCTCTCATGATCTCACAATAAGCTGTCTCTTCAGTGGATCCCTCGGAGCTCAACTCTGATGGGCGGTGTGATTTCCTTCTTCTGTAATTCTCTTTCTTTTCTTCTCTGCCTGGAGAATTCTCTCTCAGTCTCTAACTTTCATTTCAATCGCCATCTCCTTTTTGTGTTTCCCCAGAACTCTGCTCCCAACTCTGCCATGCCTATTAGAATTAATTATCACTGCTATCACTGCTTCCTCAGATACCTGTAAGATTGTCCTATACTTTTGTTTACCCCTCCCAACTGTGAGGTCATTGAGGATAGGGGCCATTTCTTATTTATCTTTAGGTAGTGAGTGCTCTGAACCATGGTCAGAAAGGCTCTATAACTTGGATTGATTATTTAATAATAGTTGGCCAATAAAGGTTCTGGACCAGTTCCAAGATCATACTCTAAAGATAAATTATTTCAGTCTTAAGGCTGGTGGAAATAGAAATGAATAACCTTGAATTTGATGAACCTTTGCATCTGTTTTATCACAAAGCTGGGTTGAATTTGTAAGTTCAGATTCGTGAATCTAGCTAACATCTGGGTAAGACTGTAGATAATAAAGCAGATTTCACACAGTGGCAGAGAATGGTTAGACACTCACCCAACCCATTCCAACCCAACAGGCTTTCCCATCTGCCCTTGAAGTTAGGTGAGGCCATGGACTGAGTTCAGGCCAATGGAATACAGATGGAAGCAATGAATGCCATTTCCAGGTGTGACATCTTTTTTTTTTTTTTTTAAAGATTTTTATTTATTTATTTGAGACAGAGAGAATGAGAGACAGAGAGCATGAGAGGGAGGAGGGTCAGAGGGAGAAGCAGACTCCCTGCCGAGCAGGGAGCCCGATGCGGGACCCGATCCCGGGACTCCAGGATCATGACCTGAGCCGAAGGCAGTCGCTTAACCAACTGAGCCACCCAGGCGCCCCAGGTGTGACATCTTAAAAATTCCTGTGAAATGTTCCATACACACTCTTTTCTATCATTCCCTGCCTTGATGCAGTAGGTCTTAGTGCAAAACTCTTAGGCCCTAGAAAATGGTGGAGTTGTGTATATTAGAACCATGGATATTAGTGTATATAATGGACAGTGTATATTAGAACTACATGGAAGGGCACTCATCAAATGTCCAATTGGATTGTGATCAAATTAAATAATAAACCTTCTATTGTGTTCAGTCGCTAAGGTCATACAGTTGTTTGTTTCTGCATTTAGCTTATCCTGAAAACACACAATTGGAAACACATGTACATATTCCCATTATTTAATTTACCTGCCACTCAGGTCCTTCACCAGGAGAAGGGTGGTTTGCACATGGGCAAATAGAACCAAGTTAGAGTGGAGACATCACCTGCTCTCCTCCAGAGGGAGCTCTAGAAAGATGTCTGCTGATCTTGCCCTGTGGATGTGTGGTCAGCGTATGAGCAAAGCGGACGACAGGGCTTAGTCAAGAATTCAAATGCCGAGATGCCTGACAGTGAAGGATGGTGTCATTTTGATAAATGCCTTCTCTTCTCATCAGTAATCATTGCTCTTTATGTGCAGACACTACTTTGATTGTCCTCTGCACACAGACACTGTAGTCCCACATAAACATCTTCATGTAACTTCTTTTCAGGCTTGTCCTAATTCGCCGGTGAAAACTCATTACTCTGAATCCGCTGTCACCATAAATCCTGCCTCCCAGCTTCAGAATACTGAAGAGAAGAGGATCTGCCAAGGTATTTTTTTCAGCATAGCATTTGTCTGCTTATTCTTATGTGAAGTTGGTTATGTAAGTTGACCTAGACGCCATTTCTAGACTCTGTATTCTTTTTCACTAAGCATCATACTCATCGGATTCCTTTTTCTTCTGTAATACTCATTCCCAGGGGAACCTTACTCGGTCTCATGACTAAAATAATCTATGTGCTGGTGGCTCTCAAATATATACCACAAGCCGTTTCTCAGAAGCTTATCTCAAACTGCTTACTTGATACCTTCCTCTGAATGAGTAATACGCATCTCTAACTTCAAACTGAGTTCCTGGTCTTTTCCCTTCTTTCAGCCTTCCCAGCTCAGTTGATGGCAACTGTGTCCTTCCACTAGCACAGATCAAAAAAACCTCTGTCTCTCTTTGCGCTCATGCCTCGCTGTCACTCTGTCAGCAGCATACCTGGAATTTGACCACTTCTTACCACCTTGATCACCATAAACCTTGCCCAAGCACCACTATCTCCATCTGGACCAGGGCAGTGGACTCCTACTGCATCCCCCTCTCTCCCCATTTCCCCTCACCCCCTAACCTCATAGACTCTTCTTTTTTTTTTTTTTTTAAAGATTATTTATTTATTTATTTGAGAGAGAGAGAATGAGAGACAGAGAGCATGAGAGGGAGGAAGGTCAGAGGGAGAAGCAGACTCCCTGCCGAGCAGGGAGCCCGATGCGGGACTCGATCCTGGGACTCCAGGATCATGACCTGAGCCAAAGGCAGTCGCTTAACCAACTGAGCCACCCAGGCGCCCCCTCATAGACTCTTCTTAACATGGCAGCTGGAGTTGTCTTGTTAAATGTTAGGCAGATAATGTCAGTCTTCTGTTCAAAACCATTCTAATAGCACCACATGTATATTAGGCAGGTCAAGCTCTGCTGCTGAAACAAATATCCCCTAACAATCTTGGTGACATAAGGTAGCAAAGCTTTATTTTTCATTCAGGTGACGTCTGATGTGAATCAGATGGTTCTGTTTCCATTTGGAACACTTGAATTTAAAGGTCATGGTAGTAGACCAGAGGGATACGAAGGAAGAATAGTGTCTCTTTATGGCCTTGACCCAGAAGTGATACACATCACTTCTGCTCAGAGCTAGGCACCTGGCATGACCCCAGCTGCAATGGAGACCAAGATATGTAGAAGAACATATAGTTATTCCATGAGTACTGACTCCGGTCACACCATTTCTTTCAGAGGAATAGTCAAAGTCCTGCTATGAACTACAAGGCCTTATAAGAAGCCCCCGCCCTTCTCACATTTACACCCCCCTCCACCCCGTGACTCTCTGACTCCATTCCTACTGTTCTCTTCGTCATGACCACTATCCCACCCTCACTGGTTTCCTTGCTCTTCTTTGCACTTGTCAGGTACACGCCGGCTACAGAGCCATTCACCTTCTGTTCACTCCACCTGGAATGTTCTTCCTCCAGGCATCTGAATGCCTCACTCCCTCACTTCAGATTCTAATTCAGAATTCATCTTTCAGCATCTGCCCTGACATTTTATATCCCCTTTCCTCACAGTATTTTTCTTCTTGGCATAGTATTATCCAACACATATATTTTTTCTCAAATATTGTGTTTATTAATTATTTTATCTACCAAAATAGAAGCTCTGTGAGGTCAGACGTTTTTGTGCCAACCTCTAGAAGAAGTCTGGCACATGATCGGCATGAAGATAATTGTTCAATGAATGAATTAATTATTGTCTTCTAAACTGTCCTATCATCCTCTATTATCCTTTCTCTCACTCTGAAATGGTATAATCCTAGACTTCTAACTTTAGCTACCTTCAGGCCAGACTTAAGCAAACAAGTTACAACATATGTCTATGACAAAAAAAGATAAGAAAATCAATTCAGAAGATGTGCCTTGTTAATGATAGAAGCAATGATATGCCGTATGCAGACAACAACATATTAACTACTTCTATCTATCTGTATGCCTATCTCTGTTGAAATGTAAAAACTGCCAACACTGGTCTTTCCATCATATATTTCACCCATACCTGATTTAAATGTTTTTCCAGTTTTCTCCCCTGCAGAATGGCACCACTCTCAAAACAGTGGTCTAAATGTTTGAAGAGTAAGAAAACCCTCAATCTTATGACTCTGTGTTATGCTACACAACTCCTCTGATCTTCCTCATAGGGGCAATTTCATATCCTTAAAATTATTTTTAATCATTTCTGCTGCTTGTTATTGGGGAATAAAAGCATACATGTGGACAGAGCCAGTTGGAGGTAGGAAGTGAAATCATGGTCTAAGTTCTTCCACAAAAAGAATTATTCTGCTGGGAGCTGCCCTCATTTAGTGAGGGATGCTTAGCACCTACCGCTGGTTTCCTAGCAACACAAACTTTTCCTCCAGCTAGGATGGAGGGTCATTTTTGCATCTTGTCTTCATTCCTCTTGGACTCTGTGAGAGGAAATTAGTCTGGAAAATTCCCACCATATAGGATGTATTGCAAAGTTGTGTGTGGGGAGCCAAGGAAGTGGGAGATGGCCATGCATTTGGAAGGAAAGATGAAGAGGAAGGAGAGGAGGAAAGGAGGGGTTGGAGAATGGAATCGGAGAGGAAAGGTCTTAATGAAAATGTCAGAGGGCTCAGAAGAATTTTAGGAGTATATATGCTCCTTGTAGCCCAAATAACTGGTATTCTAATAGAGGCCAAGACAAATGATGCTTACTCATCAACTTAAAGCTTCTTTTGTGGGATGAATCAATTGAACATACAGGCACTTTAGAACTCTGCCTTCCTTTCCTTTTATGTGCCAAATCCACAGCTTTTTTTTTCCTGTCTAAATTCTGTAGGTCTTTTACACAATAGCTATATTTGAATGTTGCTTCCTGATTGCCTCTGTTCCCCTCCTAGAGAAGCTGCATTTTGAACGAAATACACCAGTTTTGAGGTCCCAGATAGGTCTGGCTTTATCCTCTGATATCCACCTATTAGCTATGTGACGTTGACTAAATATTTATCTCTGGAGTATCAGCCTCCTCATATGAGAATAAGAATCATAAATCCTGCATGGGCAGGCACCTCTAGTCACTTTAGCACTAGCCATGTGCCCTTTCTCTTTATTAACATTGCCCTGATTTGGTTTGGAGCAACAATGTGTCTAGCTTTAAAAGAAAAGATCGTCCAATGCAACTTTTCCAGGGTTGCTTATGGGATATTTCTGACCAATTAAATATAAGCAGATATAAGCAGAAGACTACTTGGTAGAGCTTCCAGGAAAGATACTGTTTTCCTGATTAAAAAAAAAAAAAAGAACTGACATAGCTGGAATGAATCTTCTGTCCCCTTCTCAACCCCCTTCTTCAATACTGGAGCTCAGACAAGATACCAGAGGTGCAGCAGCAATGAAAGACCATGACCATGAGAACCATCTGCTGAGGCTGGCAGAGCATGAAGATAGCAAGAGCCCAAATCCTTGTAGATTTCCTCCTGTGTCTGGACCTGCTGTCTACCTCCAGATAGGCTTTAACATGATAAAAATAAGCCTCTATTTTCAAGCCACTATTTGCTGTTTTCCTGTTTGTTTTCTGCTATTTGCTATCAAACTGATATGCTGTCTTACAGAGGTTGTGAAGATTGATTCAATATGATAATTAGTCAAACTACTTACTACTAATAGTTCCCTTGTCTATGATTTCTCTGATTCTGTATTATCGATCAATTATTTTGATTTAAAAATATATTGAGCCAACATCAAAACAAAAGTAGATGTCTCTAATTCCTTATACCTTTTGCCATCAGAGGTAGAGTTCACCTGATATAATTCTATGACTAATCATGATTTTCCCTCATCCCTCTAATCTCTCTGTACATACCTAAATGATGTACAGAGAGTGGAGGAAATTCTGATTTTATTGGTCTAAATCTGTCACTGGCTTGCTTTTTAGTTTTACATACATTTCTTTCACAAAGTCTCTTTCTTCACTTTTACTAAGAAGAAACCAAACTAGGTCAGCAATTCCCAAACTGTATTCTAGGAAATGTTCATAGATGTTTCATGAAGAAAGAGTTCGATGATGAAATAATCCTGTGAAATGTTCTCTCATTTCCCCACTCCTTTTCTGGAGTGCTATATACTTAAAATACTTTTTATATGCCCCTCTCAGGGGTGGACTATGCATGTTAGCACATTAAGGGCTAAGAGAAGTGTAACAGAAAATAGATGTGATCTTAGTTTTTTAACCAGCACTTCCAAAATTTATTTGATTGCTTGACCTTTGTATCAGCAAATATTACTTAATATCTGTCAACCTAAGATTTTTATGGTCACGATTTCAGGAAGCCAAGACCAATTAATCCCCAAATTTCATCTCATTACCAACATGCTCCATTTATCTGGGTTTTTAATTTTCTGGTACTCTTGGGAATTCCCACCAACAGTTCTGATTTTCACCTCCATTTACTCTAAAACACCAAGTTACTGGGAGTTACACATCAATGGGTGGCAAATTTTATTGAACTTGAGGTATCCAATGTGTCTACTTTTATTCAGTAATTCTATAATTCTATAATGCTTAAAACGGGAAATTGCCTTAGGCATTCCTTATTAGAGAATTATAAAGGGATATTGAACATTAGCTGAGTGTGGTAAGCATAAGTGTTCTTTTTTAAAAAAGATCTGCAACTCTCTTGGTTCTTTAAAAAGAAAGTATCTACTTGGGTCATACATCATGACTTCTGTCAGCGCGAAGATTGGAATGATACTCGGGGATGTCACACAGAAACCATCAGCCCACAGGGAAGACGCAGAGTTGGGCAACAGTGCAGAAGTATGCATCAGGGGTTCTGCCTCTCCTCTCAGTTATGGCAAGCAGCAGTTACAGTTCTTAACTTTTGTTCTTGTCCTAGGAAGAAAGTAAAGCACTTCAGGCTTTCACATGCATCTCTTTAGGGAATAAGCTGGAATGGGAGAGGGAAATGTGAGTAGATCAGATTTATTCCAATATAAGT